TTGGAATCCTGAAGGGAAGCGGAAAAGAGAAAGGCCAAAGAACACATAACCCCGGGAAATAGAATCAGATATGAAAAGGATGAATAACAACTGGAAAAGACTGACTAGGACAGGGTTGGATTTAGAGTACTGTAGGCGGCCTATGCTCCTCTAAGAAAGGTAACAGATTCAAGTCTCAGATTTTACCAAGATGTCCTATAATGTTATATTACAACATCTTTGGTTGTTCCCACTTGTGTTCTCGTTCACTACAGTATACTTATCTTATGGATAAGGAATAAATCATTATTTAACTCACTGTCTACTGGAACATATACTTTTTCGCTTTCATAGTGATTAATTTATCTCATGATTATTCAACTACTAATAATACCATTTTTGGGTTCGCGAATACTGGTCGGCAGCTTATGCTTCATTGGGAGTAACAGGCGTAAGGAGAAAAATGGTAGATAATACCATTCTAATAGTAGTCATATAAGAATAAAGTAGAAAAATATACTTAAAATGTGCATCATAAAATTACAAATCAAACTACACATCATGTAATAAAACTATTTAATGTCAGCCAATAAAATGTGACATTTTCCCATAGTTCCTTCATATTTCTTTATCAAAATATAAATGTGACTATTGTATAGATACAACAGTGATAGAATACACTAAGAAAGGAGGAAAGGAAGGAATCAAGGAATGAGGGAAGGGAAATGCGATTGATTTCTAGAGAATGTTAATAATATCAAACTAGGTGTTCTGATCAATTTCGATTTCTTAAAAAAAAAGAATGAATAATGTGACTTTAAATTGATAAACAAATATTTCTGAAGATAATTGATTACAGTCTACACAGTTACATCATTATCAGAAGGGGGGAGTTTTGTGGAGATTTTAGTGATTTATTAGTTGAATTTATCAGTCAATTAAAGCTAGATCACAATGGTAAACCTGAAAGAACTGGATAGCCGTTTCGTCCTAAAATGAAACTCATCAGCAATGCGCATCGATGATCTCGACGCGGGGTTCGAACCCAGAACCGAAGAAAAGAGAAAAAGAACAGAAAATAATTTGTGTGGAAATGAAGAAACAACAAAGTCTGAGACGATTGATTGATATTGTGCAAATGAAGTATTTACTGTATGGTTCTCAGATTTTACTAAGACGTTCTGTAATTTTGTATTCAGATACATTAGATTGTCTTCACTTTTGTTCTCGTCCACTATAAAAAGACTCCTTTATAAAATTATAAGCTAGTCTCATTTCCTGATAGGCATTTGGGAAGTGTGCATAGAAAGATAAGTGATCAAAGAAATTTCGACAGAACCTAGTATCGATGTTACTGTTTCAAAGCAGATAATAATACATTAAAACCATTGAAAGCAGGCTCAGTGGTCTAGTGGTTAAGCGCTCGCGCGCGAGATGGGGTCATGGATGCGCACTGCCATGAAGTCCCACAATAAAACGTGATGGATGGCCAGTACTTCCAGGTTTTCAATGGTGGTTTAACACCAATCGGTTCATGATCTCAATCAAAAAGTTATAATACAATTAAATCTATTCCTTTTTGCACAATCATTCTTGTATGGATTTTACTGTTTCTATTATCTTATAATTTTCACAAATCAAATTAGAAACTGTATTCGACTGCATTTGACACTTTAAATGAAGAAATTTTGAACATAATGTTTCATTATTCTGTCTATCATACATTGATATGAATACTAAAGTACTTGTGAAATGTTAGGCGAGACTATAATTTATAAACGAACCAATCAGGCGAATAAGATAACAGGTCTCGGATTTTGGCGGTAAATTCATTCACCCATTTGACAAAATAAAGTTTTGGCACTATAGATGATGTCAGTTCGTAATGAAAAACATTAAATCTAATTCCTAACCTTAACCATCAACTATAAATAATAATTGAAATTCCCCACACAGGTTTCTAACCATCATTTGATCTTAGTTACTGGGTTTATACCCTCAAGGTTAATTTAGCGTTACTCAAAGGTCGTCCATAAATTATAGTCTCATCAATTGTTTTATTTGATAAAGAAATCTTATGTAAATTTCAATTGTAATCAGTGAATTTAAACAGACAATTTGTTTAGAAGTATCAATACAGCTTAATTTGAGTGTTATAGCAACACTACCACGGTTCATTTGGTTAAATTTTGTTAAGTCCTTATATTAACTCATTTAACAAACAATGCCATTTGCATGGTAACAATTCATCCATTTAGTTGTGCTATTTATGATCACTATCATGTCTGTATAAACCTGTATGCTTGACCACATGTGACAGCCTACTCACATTATCTCTTTCTAGCTAAAGTGTTGATAGCTTCAATATCGCGCGATGAATCATTCTCTTCTCCATGTATATATGTACCCAAATCCTATTATTATTGTTTGATTGAAATCATGAATCGATTAATGTTAGACCACCATTGAAAATCCGGAAGCACTGGACGGCCGTTCGTCCCGCGAGCGGGATCGTGGATGCGCACTTCTGAGGAGTCCCACAATAGGACGAAACGGCCGTCCAGTGCTTCCAGGTTTTCAATCGTGGTCTAGCATCAATCGGTTCATGATCTCAATTAAAAACTTAACAATCTCCACAACCCTTAAACTATTCATGTTTGCCTTGTTTAGCTTCACCTTGATTCGATTTGACTATAAGTTAGCCTTTTTATACTCTGCTTCAAATTCGCTCGATGTACTACTTATGACTTTGTTGTCTGAACTATCGGCTAATAGATGGTAGTCACCGTTTCTTATTACCTTCTGATTTCAAAGACATCGTCGAGATTTATATAATAACGGTTATCAAGGTGATTGATGATTAACGAACCTAAGCCAGTACAGTGTATGTTAACAGAATTCTGTATTGTTACTTGGGATACAATTGTTGTATGTATAGAATACACACATTCATATCATTTCAATAGCCTGGAAACTATTGAAGAAATATTCATTGAAGAATCACTTAAAAATGAAATTATATATACGGTAGTGAGTTTCTTTTTATCGTAAAAATAAATATCACAATTAATAATAAACTCATCTTACAACTTCCTTAGGAACCTAATTAGTATCTGTGTCCATTTTTCAGTTGCATCCTTTTGAACCGTTTCTTTGGAGAATTTGACAGGATCAGATAATATCGAAGATAGTTCGGTGACATTGTAAAGTATGTTTAAACATAATATTCATTCCTTAATTTAACTAAGGAAGATTTTGTTATAACTTATGGGCCTTGTGCCTCTATTAGTCTATGACGTAATGATACCGCCAATTAAAGAACAGTGAATAATCTACTAGATCAATGACGCATTAAACCCGTATGAGCAGTATAGAATTCTTATAGGTACTTCTTCCCGCTTAACACTGCCTGTCAAGTTCAGAACATCAATCTCAGCCTCCGCGATATGAATCATGTACTGGTTTTATATGCAAACGAAACAAACCATAACGTACCATAAAATAGGAAACAACATTTGTACAAGAGTTAGCCAAATGTGGCTGTGAATAAGGGAAATAGTGATTGATAGACTTGGGCATAACTCAAGAATGGTAAATCGTATGATAATAGTCTATGAGTAAAAATAAAGCTTATAATAAGACAAATATGAATGTATATAGTTTAGTTACTGAATGTACGTATGAATGTACGTATAATATTTGTCCATAAATAGATCTCAACAGTTACCATCCACTATTCCTGTTGGGATATGAAAGATTTGTTATGTACAACCAATGTTGATTAAAAACTCTATGTGATATTCTAGTGATGGGCACACAATAAATGTAACTTACTTAGATTTGTCAAATCAAGTGAATTACACACACACACACACAGACTATCATCTGTACATTGATAAAACGTAAGTGAGATTAAAATATTTAAAAAATATACGAATACGTATATATTACTGATACAGTTCAAGTGTTAAGTAGTATCATGAAACTCTGTATTTCTCCTAAAGTTTATATTTCTAATCATTAATTGATCATGTTCTTTATACTACTTAATAAATATTTCCTTATTCATATAATCATTTCTGATTAACTACTAATCATCTCTGGTGAGTAATAAATGAGAAATAATTTCTTAATTAAATGCCTGAACTACATAGAGACTATCTCATATAGCCTATTTTCAATTAGGATTAGACGAAAAAGAAAACAAAATGCATTCCATGCGCGAGCGCTTAGCCTTTAGACTACTAAGCCAGTATATAACGGTGTTAATTTCAAGGAGTATTTCCTGCAGTTTTACTGAGATAGAGTAACCGATAGACTTCAACTAGGTCTGTTGTGAGATAGTGACTCATTAAAGACAATGATGGACGGTGTCGCAATTTCATGGATTAACTGAAGTTAGACATGAACACCGTTAGATGCCGGTCTGCTCAATGATCTAAAGGTTAATCGTTCGCGCGCAAGACTGGGTTCAAATCTCGCGAGATAGGGTCTTGAATGCGTACTACTTAAAAATCGAAAAATAGGACAAAATGACCGTCCAGTGCTTTCATGTTTTCCATGCTGATAGTCTAGCTTCAAATGACTCATGATTTTAACTATTGAAATTACTATATGTTAGCGGGACATAGATTGGATTAAAGCATGCTCGATGCACGATTGCTTTGGTGAACGTTGATTGGCTAATTCTTGCACACTCAGAGCTAGTCGATACTTGGAGAATACTCCAGAAATCTTCTCATGTAAAAACTATAAATACACAAAATTTCTTCCTATTGTGCTTCTTATTTCCATCTACCCCTTGTTATTTGAAGGAATATAATCTCTTTCCTGTTCAACCGTGTTCTGTGATTTGGGAACTTGTCAAGTGAATTGGTGTCCAAGACTAATTAAGCAATAAGAATAGCTGGGTTATAACCGTAAGAGAGAGAATTATAACACTATAATATCTACAAAAAACCCTTTCATTATAACAAATACAATCATTTCAATATAACAATATGATATAAATACAAACTTACTTGTTATTAAAGTGAATAGGAAATGAACACTACTTATTCTAAATCCTTGTTATAAATACGTTGAAATAGTAGTAAAATAATCCAACTATCCTTTGTTTTCCTCTTAAACGACACACACACGCATATATATATATATATACCTTCGTCTAAATGACTAACATGAGGTTGATAAAAAGCTTTTTTTGTTTTTTTTTTAAAAAAAAAAAAAACAATCGTTGCACAATATATATATATATGTTTTTTTCCAAACAACATTTAAAATTTTAAAATGAACCAATCAGAAATCACAGAATTATTATTTTTGGTTTTTTTTTGCAAATTATTAACCAATCATTGATCAATTCGATTGATGTGACCTAAAAGTAAATTTTTAAATGTTGATTTTATATAAACAAACGAAATGAACACACACACACACACACACACACTAAAAAACCCCGCCATATAATGTCAATTATTTAAACAAAAATAGGAATAATTAATCGTATATCATGTATTAGTTAATTTTTTTTGGTTTTTTTTTGTTTTGGAAAAGTTCATGGTGTAATTCATGTTTAATTACTACATAGTGGATCATGGATACATAAAAGTAAAGAGTAATTCAGTAGTACAATAATTTGTACAATCAATATGCAGTACATGGTTAAAATATCCAAAATGTTATTGTAGAATATTTTTTTGAAATAGATCCTTTTATTGAATAGTTAGATTCATGAGTGTAGTTGATTCTAGACAACTATGGAATATTTGGAAATACTGAACGGTTGTTTCGTCCACGTCTCTGCTTGCCAGATTCGAACTGTGGACCTATCGGTCTTACAAGTGAAGGCTTAATATTAAAAGCATTAAGCAGGCATTCAACTGTTTTCATATCTAAGTTCAATGAATCCATGAAATTGCGACATCGTCCATCATTGTCTTTAGTGAGTTACTATCTCACAACAGACCCGGTTGAACTCCATTGGTCACAGATTCTCACTAGAACTGCTGGAAATACCTCTTGAAAACTGTCACAAATGAGCATATAATGAATATAATCATAGAGCAATTTATGTGGATATTATAGTAATTTAATAGTTGAATTCATAAGCCAATTGAAGCTTGACCATCATGATAAACCTGAAAGTAATGGAAGGCTGTTTCATCCTATCGTGAGACTCTTCAGAAGTGAGTATCCACAATCCACGATACTTGTTTGCATATACCAGAAATAATTATAGTTTTACAAGTCTTTCAAACTTCTTAGTTATTTACAGAATTTATGGTTTAAATAACTTATAGGATAAAAATAGTGATATCATCGTTTCTAGTTTAAATTCTTAGCTTATTTGACATTTGATTTGTAAATAACATGTGGCGACGTGTCTGAACATGTTGGATACCTTTCCCTAACATTTAGATATTTCAACAAGTTATCTAGTTTTGTTTATGTTACTCTCTTACACCTGTTACCTCTCGTCGATAAGCATAGGTCACCCAACAGCATTCTACATTCAATTCTGTCCTGAATAATCCTTTCCAGTTCCTATTCATTCTTTTCACGTCTATTTTCAATTCCCCATACAGTGTGTTCTCTGTTCTTCCTCTTTTTTTCATTTCCCCTTAGGATTCCAAGTTATCACTTGCCTTGTGATACAGTTTGATAATTTCCGTAATGTATGTCCTATTCACTTCCAACATCTTTTCCTAATTTCCTCATCAAATGAAACCTAGATTTTTTTCTCTCCAACAGTAGGTTGTTGTTGATAGTATCCAGTTAAACAACATTCAGTATCTTACGTAGATCTATATGTACAAGAAAAAGATCGTAATAACAGAACATTTTACAGTGTGACCGAAATTACCATTGTCAACATTAATAGATTACAAGTCTGATGATTATTCAAGTAGATAAAATTACATATTTTTACACATGATTTACGTATTATATGACATTTATTTTTTTTTTTTTTAGTTTGATTTATAGTTTAAAGGTGATTTCATTATAAACAATTGTCAAATATTAAATAACCATAGTTGACTAATTTCTAACTTCATTGAATGTAATATGTTCCTGTGTTAACCCCCCCCCCTTTATCATTTTGTTAATGTACAAAACTAACGATTAGTAACCAAAAGAGATTATCGTTTAGTTTGTTTTCATTTCCAGTAGTTGATTATATAATGACATTGAAATTGAAATCACTTCTTATTTAAAATCATATGACTAAATAATTTATCCTTCATTTTCTAAATTGCTTTATATTCTCTATTCAGTTAGTTACTAATGACAATATGACATTAATGGTTTCTGTATACATTCAAGTAAGTTGAATAGAAATTTCTCTAACAGGCACATGATAGCATATTATTGGCACATCATTACGTAACATCTACAGGCATATGTAACAGGTTCTTTGTTCAAATATCTACATATATGTAATGTGACCAGTTACTGTTTATACAAATAGAATGTTTATGTAATAACTATAATGAAAAAAAAACCAGGAAATTATCTGTTTTTTTTTATACTGTGAAGTTTTTAGTCACCTAGAAACTAACTTCAGTTAGATCGTTTCTGCTTGTTATCGAAATATACAAGCCGCTAATCCTCAGATCTAATCATCGACTTGAATCGTGTTAGTGAATAATGGAATTCAATAAGTCAAATACGAGAATTGATTTTTGAATACATATATTTGGTATACTAATTGATCTGGACAGACAATTAGAGGAATAAAGCGAAGCAAAACGAAATAATACACAATGGAGAAGGCGTGTAAGCCTACTACATTTAACTAAGAGTGAGTCAATATTCATATTCAGTTAGGATCAACAAGGTCATAATTTGATTCAAGAAGAACGAGTAGATTAAGGTTGTTCGGAAGCTAGAATAAACTATGACGGTTTAACATCATAGCAACCAACACTACAGGATTCATAAACTAGAAAAGTATATTAAGAATTATTAATTAAGTGTCAACCACTATCAAAGTCTCAATCTTTAATACGAACATCAAGACAGTTCTACTGTACGGAGCTGAAACATGGAGATCAGAAAGGTACAAGTATTTATAATTAGTTGTCTACGAAAGATACTCAACATCCATTCGCCGGATACCATCAGCAACAACCTACTATGGGAGAGAACAAACCAGCTTTCAGCTGAAAAGGAAATTAGGAAAAGTCGTTGGAAGTGAATAGAACATACATTACAGAAATCACTAAACTGAATCACGAAGCAAGCCCCAACTTGGAATCCTGAAGGGAAGCGGAAAAGAGGAAGGCCAAAGAACACATTACCTCGGGAAATAGAATCAGATATGAAAAGGATGAATAACAACTGGAAAGGATTGCCCATGACAGGGTTGGAAAGAGAGTGCTGAAAGGGTGGCCTATGCTCCTCCACGAGGAGTAACAGGCGTAAGTAAGTAAGCAATAAATAAAATGACAATTCATTTGTTTGTTTTATTACGTCTCTAATTAATCAGTGATACTTACCGACTTACGCCTGTTACACCTCACGAAGAAGTATAGGCTGCTCACCAGCACTATCCATCAAACTCTGTCCTGGACAATCCTTTCCAGTAGTTTCCAGTAAAATACAATTGATTATTTAGAGAACAACTGAATGTGATTTTGTTTTTCTATTAAGAAAAATACAATTCAAATAATCTGATCAAAAGGGTTGATACTTTCTGGCACAAATTTTACTTAAAACTGACTAACATAAAATAAGTATGATTGATACAATTGGAATTCAAATTATACAACATTTCAGCACAATTAGTCATAATGGGCGAGTAAAGCTCATCTCCTTGACACCTATCACTTAACGATTTGGTAAAATCTGAGATCCATACAGTAAATATTTTAATTTGTAAAATATCCATCAATTGTCTCAAACTTTATTATCCTTTCGTTTCCATGCCAATCACACTCTGTTCTTATTCCCTTCTCTTCGATTTTCTCAACCTCTTACTACCAGACATTTCACTTTCGATTGGTCATACATATTACTTATCTCTATCGACATCAGTAGCAGACATCATAGTGAAATTAAAAAAATATATTACTTACCTTATGTTTGGAATTTGTAAGTTAAATACTTTAGTTGCCCGAGTTCTGACTCCAAGTAGATCGCATGAATGATTGTTATTTAAATATATATGCCGCCTATCCTTGTATATAATCATCGATTTATATCACGTTAGTCAATAACGGAATATGTCGAATAACGAGAATGGACTTTTGAATACATATATTTGTATATGAAGCGAATGGCATAGAAAGAAGAGATACGACGTGCAGTGGAGATGGCGGGTAAGCCAACTCCCATTTAACCAAACGTTAATCAATATTTATAAGCACACAAAAATAAGTTACAGACATGTGATGTGATGATTAATGGGATAGGAAGTGTACACACACTTACGCGCTCATATAAAAGCAGTGAAGATTGGATAAGCAAATAATTAACAAGATCAGAATGTGACTCAAGTAGAATGAATAGATTGAGCTGTCCGAAAGCCCAGAATAAGGTATGTGGGCTTAACATAATAACCGACGCTACAATGCACCTATGTCACAGTTCAGACTAAAACTCGAACCGAGTAACTGTAGCTTCAAATACTAATGCGTTATTGTGTTAAAATAGTCCTTTAAAGGTTGATCAATTATAGTCTATAAACTAATCAAAGTAGAATACTGATAGACATGTTCAATGTTTAGAATCCATTGAAGTTCAAAATAAGTGTGTGTGGGAGGAATATTTACAAATGTGACATTATTTATGGTATTTATAATGATCATCTATAACCCAAGATAGTTCTCATTTCATTTCTTACCTGAATGTTGTTTTCCCAAAGGTAATAGTCAATTTGATGCGTATACATTATGTGCGTGTGTGTGTGAGTGAGTGTGTGATCACATTATTTCCTTTAAGCGACTTAAACTTGAGTTTTTCTTTTCAACAACACTCACTAATGAACTGACCTTAAAACTATATCCAACATTGAATAGGGATATGAGGAAAATAAAATGTATGTCAAGTTATTTATAGAGTAAATGAAATGTATCGAACAATAGAATCCAGGATGCTGTTTCATCCAATGTTGGACTTATCAGTTCAACCTATCTACATCTCAAAGTTATTGGCTAGTCATAATTCTAACCCATTGCATTCTACTTTATACATCTAACATA